CAGAAATTGTATTGTGTGTAAGAAATGACAAATGTGATGAGTTCAGAGAACCAAGGAAAGATCTGTATGAACTGATGCAGGATGAAGTAAGCTACACCGAGAAAATGTGCACAACGGCCACAGCCGTGTACTGGGAAGAACAACCACCCATTCACCTACACAAAATAGAAAATGAATGACACAAAATTACAAAGAACCAAAAGAAATGAGATGATACCCCCCCATGTCACCCCTTCGCCAAGGGGGAAGGTCTACGAGTATGGCAAAAGGCGGTATATTTTCAGACATCGTCAAAGTATTGATCAGTTATGCTTATTTTTCCCTTTTTTTTCTCTTTTTGTCTTTAAAAAATACTATTTGTTATATGAAATAACTCTCTAGGAAAGGGAGGGGGAGGGACATTGGGGAAACTATGGTGATGTAAGGAAACAAAAGACATCAATAAAGATTTACTGCCGGGGTGGGGGGACAGCAAGTTAGCAGCAAGAGCAAAATGTTAATCTTACCTCCAACATTTATAATAATAATAATAATGATCACCATTATTATTATAGCTGACATATAATACTATGTGCCAGGCACTATTCTAGGCACTTTAATAATAGTTAACATAATAACAGCTAACATTTATATAGCAATTACCATGTGCTAGGCACTGTTCTAAGCACTTTAATAATAGTTAACATAATAATAACTAACATTTGTATAGCACTTACCATGCTTCAGGCACTTTACAATTATTATCTCATTTGATCTTTACAACAACCCTGGAAAGTATTATCCCCATTTTACAGATGAAGAAACTGAGGCAAACAGGTGAAATGACTTGCTCAGGGTCATACAGATAGTGTCAGTGGCTGGATTTGAACTCCAGTCATCCTGAGTTCAATTCCCAGTGCTCTCTCCACTGCCTCATACTCAATAGGTGTGTACTTACTTACCTGCTATGAGGTTCTACTTCTTCATCTATAGAATATTTCCTTTTAAGTATGAAATGATGTTATAGGCATCTCTTTCCTTTTATTCTTAAGAATGAATTAGAGAGGGGCAGCTGGGTGGCGCATTGGATAGATCACCGGCCCTGAAGTCAGGAGGACCTGAGTTCAAATGTGACCTCCAACTACACATTTGACACTTACTAGCTGTGTGACCATGGGCAAGTCACTTAATCCCAATTGCCTTTTAAAAAAAAAAAAAGAATGGATTAGAGATATACTTCTAAAATCTGAGCAGCCTGAAGAGCTCTTTAATTTGTGCTAATGGGACATGTTGGCTTCTCTTAATTTGCATTGGGCTCTTATGTGAACTCTGTAGATCATCAGGATAGGTAATCATTTTGGAAGCTGTCATAAAAGGAAGACTTGATGCAAATCCTTTCTTAATAATATGGAAATCCTACACCAGGATCAAGGGAGTTAGGGCCCCTAGGGATCAGCTGGTTCAACTCTTTTATTTTACAGATGAAGAAAAGAGAATACTAGATGTTCAGTATTGGCCCCCACCCCCACCCCTTCCCTCCCAAGGACACAAGGATAGAGAGTAAGGAGGGATAGAGTCAGGATTTGAACACAGATCCTCTGATGTAAGATCGCCTGCTTTTGGGGTTTTTTTTTTGTTTGTTTGTTTTTTTGCAACATGCCACAGGAAGTTTTTGGTGGGATTTTTTGTTCCTTTGTTTTCTTTTTCCACAGTTTATAAATAACATGGAAAATGAAACCTGAGAACATCTATCATTAAAAAAAAAACTTGATGAGCACAAGCTAGAAATCTACAACCAGGCATCCTGCCCATACCCCCTGCCCCCCCACCCCCCCTCACCCTCCTCACCCTCCTCCAGTTTGTTCATCAGTGACAAAGTACTTAGCACCTAGCTGCTATGGAGGGATAAGAGGATAGATGAGACACAGTCTGTGCCATAACTTTAATAAAGGAGTTCATATGTTTATAACACTTTACAAAACACTTTCATCACAATCCTGCGAGATAGACATTGCACCATTATTTACAAGTGAGGAGACAAATTCTAAGAAATTAATTTACTTACTCAAGATTGTATAGTTATAAAAAGTTCTGGGGACTTAAATATAATTGTATTTCCTTCAAAGTGAAATTCTCCATTCTACCATCCTATCCCCTAACACACATGAAATAACTGTTATTTGTCCTTCATTCTCTAAGAGGACCATGACATCAAGAAGGTGATGCCATGACTTGCAAATGAATTGAATTTAAGTGAGGCAGAACTGTGCAAAGTCACCAGCCTCACGCTCTCCTCCAGAGCCATCTGGGTCCAGTGGCCAGATATAGATCAGGATGACTGGTTATCCCATAACACACAGAAAATATCTAGAGAATCATTAAATGACAAATGAATTTGTAACTCAGTGACCCCACGGTAAGGATTTCTGAAAGGAAAAGGGAGGGAGCTGGTCCTTCAAGCTTTCAAGGGATAGTCAACACACTGAATGAGAGTCAGGTTTCAAAAAGAGATTTCCAACCTAGAACACTGGGGCCAAATCAAGTAAGATAAAATTTAATGGGGATAAGTATAGAATTTTGTACTTAGGTTCAAAAAATAAACTTCAGAACGACAAGATGAAAGAGGGGCTATGGCCACATAGCAATTCATCTGGGAAAGTCTAGGTTTTTGTTAGACCATAAATTTGTTGGTCAGAAGTATAATATTACAACAAAGAAAACTAGTATGTCTCAGGATACATTTAAATAATTAGGAGGTGATAGCCCTACTGTATTCTGCCCTGGTCAGACCCAATCAGTAGTTGAAGGCACCACATTCATTCCGTCTCCCTATCTTTCCCCGGCGGCAGCAACCACTCGCGGGCTAAATCCCACTGCTGACTGACACAGAATCCTTGTCCTACTCTGTTTCCAACTTGAGCTGGTTTGCCCCTCCACAAGCAGCTTAGCACCTCCTTGGGCATACCTTACTAGGACCAGACTTAGTGCAGGCCCCTGATTGGCTTAGCCCACTGCAGCTCAATTCCTGAGCTCTATTGATCCACATTCCTCAGTATATGTGCCACAGTGCCCCACTGGATACATTTTAGGAAGGGCATCAGATAAAGCTCAGATGAAAACAATAAGCATAGTGAATATCATAGCGGTGATTGAGATCTTGCTCTGAAGGAACTGAGAATACTTAGCCAGAAAACAGAAGACTTCTAGAAGATAGAATAGCTGTTTTACATTAAATTGTGAGCTCCTTGAGGGCAGGTACTGTCTTTTGCCTTTCCTTCTATCCCCAGCACTTAGCACTGTGCCTAGTACATAGTAGGTGCTTAAGAAATATTTTATTAAGTGGCACACAGTAGGTGCTTAATTAATATTTATTGATTGACTTTCAAGTATTTGGAAAATGACCCCATAGAAGAAGTAGACTTCTCTTCTGTGTGGCCCTAAAGAAAAAAAAATAAGGAACAATCCATGGAAGTAAAAAAGAGGCAAATTTAGGCTTAGAAAGAAACATTTCACAACAATTACAGATATCCAAAAACGGAATGGTTTGGCTTGGGAAGTAGTGGGTTCCTCCTCATTAGAGGTCTTCAAATCAGGGCAGGATGTTGTAGCAAGGGCATTGAACAATCATTATTAGAGGCACGGGATGGCCACTGAAGTCTGGTCTAACTCTGAAATTCTGAGTATCATGAATAATCAGAAAGGGATAGAAAGAGTAGGAACAGAAAACCTTCAAAGTAGTGAAGGCAAGAATTCATATAGAGGTGTGTGTGGGTATGTGCATGCATGTGTGTCTGTGTGTGTCTGTGTCTATGTCTGTGTCTGTATCTGTGTGTCTGTGTATAAGAAGGGGGATGGTAAGTTAGAAGACCTGTTTGACTGGAAGAATGGGGAATAAGTTTGGATAGGTAGGATAAAGCCAGATTATGGTGCATTTTAGAAGCCAAGAAGAGGATTTTGGACATAATCCAATATGTAATAGAAGCCAGTATAGGTTCTTAAGTGGAGGAGTGATGTGAAAGGTGTGCTGTTTTAGGAAGATTAGAAGAGTAGTCATTCAAAATAGGTTGGAGGAGTCAGGGAGACTGGTTTGGATACTGACTAATACTCCAGGATGCAGGTGATGAGAGGTGAAGCCAGGGTGGAGTCTATGAAAATGAAAAGGAAAGGGCAGGTGGAAGAAACATTTTAAAGAAAAGAGTGGTAGCACTTTGTGACTGACTGGACATAAAGGACGATGGGGCTTATAGGTGACTACAGAAGACAGGTTCCAAACATGAGTAACAGGGAGATTGGTAGTTCCACTGACAGAAGAGATATAAATCAAAAGTAGATGTGAGGTGAGGCTATGCAAGAAATAGACAGACCATTTATTAAATGATTTCTATGTGCCAGGCAC